TTGTGACAAAAAATGCGACAAATTAAAGTATTAAAGGCGAAATATTGGAAAGTACTTTTTTGTGAAATCAAAAAAGGGATGCTTTTTTCATTTCAGTCGAAAGTTATAACTTTGAACAGTATTTATGAAGTTCGTCCATGCAATTAAAAATTTCACACTTATATCTATTATCGAAAAAAAAAATTATTTAATTATGTACGGGTATTTCCATAGGATCTCGACCACACTGTACAAAAAAGATCTCCGATTTTGATGAAACTTTCAGCGTTTTTAGAGCTTTTAATTCTAAGAACTTTGATAAAAAAATTTTCTTAAAAAGTTTTTGCTTTCATGGAGATAGACCCAAAATACTGTTACCACTATATGTCAAAAAACAGTTTTTCTAGAAAATTTTTGACGAATAGTGTTTTATAGTTTTTGACACTTTTTGTCCCTAAAATGAGGTTAAAAATAAAAACCAAGACCATATTCTAATTCTTCGCGAAAAGGCGCATCGAATCATACTAAATTTGATTTAAGTTTCGAAAAAAAATTGTGCTTCATATACTACTTGACTCTTTACTGACCATACGACACATAGGGCTCTTGATTATTTCAAAAGACCGAATTGCTCGATATACTGGTATATTGTATTCGATAGAGCGTCACTTGCTCTACAACACTGATAATTCAGAATTCTCCACCCTTTTGATTTGGCTAAAATATTGTGACAACTTTTTAAAATAGTACCATTTCACATATATTTTTTGAGACTGTCCGAGGCGAAAAATCTAGAGTTTTTACAAATGACTACTTTCGATTGGAATAAAAGTTACAGGATTTATAGAGCTTTTAAGACTTGTTATTTTGGGAAAAAAATATTTGCTATTTAATGTTATTATCAATTTTGATATGCATCATTCGTTAAGAAAGGAGGTGGGGGGGGGGGGGCGTTAAGCGGACAAATCGGTCCTCTCATGAAAGCGTTCCTTTCCTATTCCAAATCGACACATTTTACCTCCCAAACTCAAAAAACGTTTGAATCCAGTCTATCAGGCTTCGTTAGCCAAAACACAAGGTTAGAAATTCCTCTCCGTTCACTATACAGATTTTTAGCCATTTCCGCTCACCTCTGCCGTCTGTGACAAATGTAGACATTTGGATCCGCTTTCGAGTCAAGCTAAAGCGATACAACTTTTTGAGCTCTACAATTCTAGCTTAGGAGTGCCTAATGAAAAAAGTGGAAATTAGGGTCATATTGGGTAAAAATTGCCCAAAAACTGATTTTCCACCAATTTACCTTATTTCTGGCCTCTGTGACGTATGTAGACATTTCGATCCACTTTCGAGTCAACCTAAAACAATAAAGGTTTCTCAGCTCTACAACTGTGACGTAAGAATGGGTAGAGAAAATTTTGCACGTGGTTTGTGGTTTCACGTATATACTTAGGTTTGCAGTACGGCACATTACCGAACCGCTTGTGCTTTTTCAGTTGCGCATGGTGCTCGATATGATACATCGCCTAATTCGATTGTTATCGAATCTTCTGGAAGTGCTGCAATTGGGAAAGACTATACTGAAGGAGCAATCGGTCTTGCATTGGGTTTTCAATCAAAATTTTCGCACGTTTCGAAAAAAGTATGCCGTCTCTATTACTGTCACAGCAACACAGGCACCAATTAGCTGCACGACTAGCAAAAATCGAGTAAATATAGGGAGCTGGCGTAAATGGCTAAAGGTCGGGACACACCTAAACGTGAAGCTGAGATTGATGACAAGGCAGGTAAACAGGGCCTCCTTATATGCACTAGTCTCGGAACTCACGGCAATTATCAGAAGTTGTTGGTAGTCATCGAGAGTGAATTCGAGTTACCCGGAGTCATCGGACATCCATGGAAGTCATTCATGTATGACTTGACGTTATTGGCAGTAGTGCCGAAAATTGGATTTCTAACTGTAATGACTTCCACTGACTCATCTTAATTCGCCTGTTCACCCGGACTGTGCAAGTCAGTGGAACCCGGCTTTTCCTACCTCGGGAATGGATCGGAGTCAACAGAAGTCGTTGAGTACCCACCCCACACCCTCAATTATAACTTATGATTCTCAAAGATATCATTGAACTGTCGCATATACACCTTGACACTGATTTTTTATTGAAGCATAAAACACAGAGAGAAAATTTCCGCTCTCGAGATGATCTATGAAGTTGACTGAATAGTTTTTTGATAATAATCATAAATAAATGTATTCCCTAATGAAATCGTTCAGCACGACGATGTATTGCTTCTAAAAGTGAATGGTTATGTGAAAAGTAACAGTCGGAATAGTTCGTACCATTTCGCGCTTGATAGAAGCAAAAAACTCTGAAAATATGTTTATCATGTGTAAGAATGACCTCCAAAGACTAATCAACAGCTGCTTCAACAATGAGAAAAAATGTCAACGTTAAAATCTTTACAAAAATCTTTTTTTTTGTTTTGTTCAATTTTTAATCGTCTTTCGAATGAGATACTGTTCAAAAATATTGAGTAACAATTGTAGGTTTTATAATCAAAATACTGGTTTTTGCTGAATTTTTGAGAGTACTTGTTAAAAAAACACAATTTTCTCTAGAACTACAATGCTTCAAAGGCAAAAAAGAAAATGGGTTATAACTCTCTGGAGAAATTCTCGACTCAGTCAGTAAGTCTTTCTTAACATGTCATGTAGTGCAATGAAGTCTGTGCGTTCTCGCTATAAATTGATTATCGAAAAAAAAACTGCCAATCTGCCATAATCTTAAGTAAGAATAATACAAAAGATAAATTCACTTGAGTTATAATATATAAATAATTTTAATATTACATATAATTCTTCTATCTTTTTGTTTTTATTTTATATTTATGAGCATTAGTTAAGGAATAATAATAATAATAAAAAGATCTAGATAAATCAGTAGATTTTGTGTATGTGTGTGTGTTTTTCACTAGATATTCCAATGAGAAACAAAAAAGTGAAAAAGAAAAGAATAACATTTATTAAAATCTTGTTTTAATCTTGTCGACCTTTTAATTCTCGTAATGTAATCTTATCTTTTTCAATAACATAAACAATTGCACCCCAACCACTAGCAGAATCACGATCAACACCATTAAGTAAAGCTTGTGATGTTGCTTCAAATAATTCATCTGGATTCATATTTGGTTTAAAAAACAGTTCACCTAACAAAAAGAATATAAATCAATAAAAATTCAAAAAAACAAAAGATTCATTATCATACCAAGACCAAATATAAAATCACTAGCCGTTCCAACTGTAGCTAAATTAACATTATCACTAATTGCTCCAATATTATCCGAATCATAAACAAATGTTTCACCAGTTTTAGGATCAAGACCAGCAACAAGTGCATATACAAAATAGGGTCCAAATCGTCGTTCATATAAAAGATTTGTTAACATATTATATAATACAATTGGTTTTAGTTTTCTTTGTTCACGTAATTCATATAAATTCGTACGAAATTTTAAACGTTCAGAAACTGTTTGAACCTATTTTGTATTTCAATAAAATTCATAAAACGAATTATTCTTAAGAAAGGAGAGTATTCTCCTATAACATAACCTCAAATTTGAGTAAAATCTAACCGAAATTATGATGTTTTCAAAATCTACTTATTTGGTGTCAACGAAAAACGTTATCCTTACTAAGTCCTCTACTTTCACAATACCTCTTACAGAGTTACAACAGAATTGTATAATTTAAAGTTTCCCAAAACTTCTATTTTTCATGGTATGCTGGTTGTGATGAGCAGGAACAATCATTTTCAGTCCCGATCAGAAAAATCTTTGGTCCTTGTTTCACGCTTAGAAATACATGTACTAATGAAAAATGCGATATCATTTTCCAGCAGTGTCAATGAGTTTGAGACATCTTGTACAATCTCTAATATCCTTCCTCTTGGAAATACATTACTTTTTTAATTCACAAATCTTTCGTCTATTTTGCACTGTTGTTTACGAAGAAAAAAAAAGATTAATTTTACCATGAAAATTGTAATAGTAAATATTGAAGTGACTATTACTCAATAATTTTCGTAGAAAATTTAAAAAACATGAGATGTGAGAATATGACATTTGACGCAAGTTTTACACAATCATAAAAGATATTACACTCAATGAAAAAGTGTTGCTGAATCTTCAACTATTAGAAAAAACAATATTTCTTTCATATATCATCCGATAGAGGCAAACCCAGTGAATAAGTTTTCATAAACAAAATTTGTTTAGATCTTTTCCAAAATTCGAGGATATGTTGTAGGAAGGGGAAGAATATACTCTCCCTATATAAAAAGAACTTACATCTGTTGCTAAACCACACAATGCAACAAAACAATGATCACCATATTGAAATATTTTCGTAAAATTTGTTGCGATTGTTCGATTTTGTACACCATAACGTTTATCACATGCTATAGCAACACATTCTTTACCTTTCATTGCTAAAGCAACACCACCATTATATGACATAATATCATCACCCATTTTCTGCTATGTGTTTTTGTTTTTCTTTATTCGATCTACAATTATGTCGTGTATGTAGTTTATTGTATAGATAGAAATTAAAAATAAAAGAAAATTGTACTGGGCAAAATACAAAAAAAAAAATAATTTTTAAATCGTTTTAGAAGATTGGAATATAATTATCAATTCTAAAACGAAAAATTTAATTAAGATTAAAAAAAAAAAAGTATATTTAATTTACCGTGTACGATGTTTTTGTGCAATACATTCAGCAATCCATATTATATTGCGATTTTCTTGTTCTTTTAATTTTAAATATGCATAAAATATACCAAAATGAAATTGACGAAGAAATGCATTCATATTTAATTTAACCTAATTTAAAATTCTTTTTTTTTTCTTTTATTTTAAGAAATTTTTTTAAATTTTACTTCATATTCAAAAAATTTATCTTCAATTGTTTTATCACCGGTATTTGTTCCAGATCCTTCAAATAAAACTTTATATTGCTAAAATATATCAAATAAAATAAAAATCAATTAAAAATACAAAAGAATTTATTAACAAACAGGATAACGAGCAGCAACATCTCGAACACCATCATAACTATCAGTACGTCGTAACTCTTGTAAACCATCCGGATTTAAATGACCACATGTTGGATAAAGTTTTGCACGTTCATCTTGTGTAAGACCAGTATCAAATGAATTAATTGTAATCATAAATGCTCGACGATCAGCTTCAAACTAAAATAATAAATAATAATTTTTCTTTTTTTGTAATATATTCTTCATTACATACAGCAAGAATTTCACACATAACTTCAGCTGTAATACCACCAAGTGTTTTACAAAAATTATAAAAATCTTCAAGATATGCCTAAACAAAATATTATTTTTTAGTATAGAAATAAGAAAATTCATTTTTCTATACTTTATAAAGTGTACTACGAATAATTTCAACATTTAATTCATCGAGATCATGTTCAGAAATACAATCAATAAAATATGGGGCTAAAAGCAAAAAACAAAACCTTTTTGAAATTAAGAATTAAATTATTATTTTTACCCAATGGTGTATCAACAAGTACAGCTGTATAAAGTTGAGCTGGTGTATCAGCAACTGTAATAGCTCCAAGTTGTTCAAAACTTCCCAATGGATGACAACGTGGTAAAAGATCACCAATAGCACGCTGATGAAGAGTACCCGTTATTAATAAAACAATATTATCAATCATATAAGCATATCTAATATAAAACTAAATATAGGCTGAAAATTTAGAGCAAAATATTTAAACTAACGCTATAGATTTATCATGCACGAATGGCTAACGCTATTTTTGATCATCGAATTTTTTCAGAATTCATTTCATATTATTTTCTATTGAATAAAGTATAGGTGCTGCTTTAGACTAAAGATCAAGGTTTTTTTTTCTGGTCTCGGTAATTTAGTTTTTCGAACCTCAAAACGATTCCAGAATTTATTCGTGCAACATCTACAAAAAAATTCTTCAGTACTTGCTTTTTATTGTTGTACTCGACGACTAGTACCTTTCGGATCATCTCTTTTGAATTATCTTCTAATTGGTATGATTCATAAGATAATCCATTTAAACCCATAGAGTATTTCACTATTATCCAGGCCTCGAAATGGCCCACCCGACTCGGTGGCCCGGCGATTTTATCCTTTTCTGACGTAGCTTTTTCTGAGATTGGGCTCATCCCTGAGGGAAGATGAGTAAGCTTCTCCACGCTATCCTTCCTTGATCATTATTTTTTATAAAAGGCAAAAAATATGTAATAGCTGTCTATTGAGAAAAAAATCTTTGTAAACGAAGTTTCTTTCCGGTTCGGGTCATAAAAAAGTGGCCCGATTTCGAGATTTGCTATTATCTACAGTTTCTATGAAGTGTGGTACCGGTCCCGCACATCTCTAAACGAGGCTGACGACAGCCTCACTATTACTCTGTGCTTTTTTCTATTGCTAATTAGACAAATTAGATAAGGATCTCATTCACATTATAGTGTACAGTGGAAATAAATATTAACTTAGGAAGCGATATTTTTAAATGGATATGCAGTTTTTCTACAGAATTACTAATTGCTTTGAGCATACATTAATTTGTTTAGATCATTGTATATATGTATATATCTGTAGGCTTTTATTATTTTATGAAAACTTACGTTATATAATCCAAAAAAGTTGATAATGGTTGATAAGACACATTTCGTAAATGTTGAAATTCTTGAACAAGTTTTTCACGTAAACGATCATCAATAACATTTACGGTTAATGGACTTGCTTCATTAGCCAAAAAATTTCCATAATCAGTCGATTGAAGATGAAGTCTCAAATCTTTTAAATAAATACAAATTATTTTCAACTAATATTGAATTTTTGTTTTGTTTTGTTTTTTTCATTTAGAAAATTATTCTCTCTTAGTTTTACCTTCAAGTGTTTCACATTGTACTAAATTATGATAATCTGATGCTTTTAAAATTCCACTTTTAAATCCTCGACATAAACCTTCAGCATAACCATGATCAAGATTAAAGAAAAGATCGTCTTTCATTATATAGAATAGAAATTTCTTTTTTTCAAACTATCTAAAAATTAAATCAATCAATGCTCATACTAATTTGATCGCTTTAAATAAGAAACAAGCCTTTACAAATACATTCAAATTGATGTGTTCGATAATAATATATGAATAATAAATAGAACAAAAAGGAAAAAAAAAAAGAATCATTTGTATATAACAATAAGAAAAACAGAACGAGAGATTAAGCTATATTTAACAATAACCGGCACATACAAAAAAAAAAAAAACGTTTGTTCAATGAATCACATGTAATAGAAATAATAAATAATATTAAAGTGAAGTATGTGCTGTTTCTGTAAAAAACGTAAGTAGATGTTCAACAGTAAAGTCAAGTTGTATATTCGAATTTGGATAACAAAGTTCAATTAATTTTGTCATTCGTTGATGTTCTTCTAGCACAAGAGTTTGAATATCATGCCATATTGCCTAGATAAAAGAAACAAAATTTGAATTTTTCTCTATCTCATAGTCTTTTTTTTCTGCTATATTGATATACAATAACTCTCAAATCATCGGAGAGAAATGGAAAACTTGGTTCTTTTTTCAGAGACTCTATCCAATCTTTATCATTTTCGAAAATTTTTGTTAGTGCAAAATAAGGAAATTGTTGTATACTCACTTGCATAAGTGATGAATTTTCTGATAGATGTTTTTCAATTTTTTTATATAAATTTTCCAGACCACGTTTAACCTATATCAAAAAAAATACAGATATATTTTTTGATTAAAACAAAAAAAAAAAAGAATATGTTTATACTTCTTTTGGTGGATGTTCACGAACAAGACGACGTAATTCAATAACACTACAATCACTTTGAAATTGTACATCTTCATCTTTAGCTAAACGTTTACGAAGTTCATCAACACGTTCAAAAAAATTCTATTGAAAAATATAAATATATATTATCAATTTTTTTGTATTTCTTTGTTTTTTCTACATGTAATCGTTCAAATGGAAATCTACAATATTCACGTTCATAATCAGCTTTTGCAGTATTATAATGTTTTCGTGCTTCTTGTTTTTCATTTTCTAATGCAGATAATTTATTAATACCCATTATATCTATTATATTGAATTATTTCAAATAAGAAATAAAAATATTTTTATTTAACTTACGTTGCATTTGATGATAATTTTCTAAAGAAAAGAAATTAATTTTTTTATTAAGATTCTATTTACTAAAAAAAAATGATGGCATCGTTGACGACAATACTCTAGCGATTTAGTTTTTCTAATACAATTGAATTTAGAACTAAAGATTTTATCTTAACAATTCAGAAAAGTGCACCACCCGCCACCGCTGCTATCTGAAAGTTTGCGTCACTTTTTCCGCCGCCCGCGTGACGTTTTTCAGGCATGGTGCACATCTCTGTAACGGTCTGAATAATGTAGAATAAGGTATCCCGTTTGATGTTTATTGAATATCCTCCTCAGTAAACAAATGATTTCTATTCTGTATGTTATTTATTTCTTTTTGACTATTAGTACATTATTAAGAATTATTAGTATCGGTGTCTAATATTCGACTCGAGATCAGCAATAGTTTTTAGCTTATCACAGAGAGTTTCTTTTTTTCAGAGACTAAACATCCTTTCATCTAGAGAATTGCTGTTTGTTTTATGTGAAGCTGAACATTTGATATAATCTATGATTTAGCATCAATAGTAGTACGAACAAATTGTTTCAATTTTATATTTGCAAACAATTTAGAATTTTCTATTCTGAGATATTTTAGTTTCAATGAAGTTGTGTACGATCATGGTTTTTTTGTTTTGTTTTTCTTACCCAATCGAACCATTGAATCAGGTGTTTTTGCATCATGAACCATTGTAGCAGCACAGTCTTCAATACCTCGAAAAATAGCTGCTACTAAATTTTTATAAACTCTATGTAAATCTACTGCTCTTGCTGATTTATCAAAAATAACTTCTGCTTCTTCAGTAAAGTCCTAAATTAAAACAAAATACTATGTAAAACAAAAAACAAAAAACAATTTCATTTCACTAACTGCAAAATAATTCACAAATGGTAAAATTCCAACTCGACGATTTTTAACTGGACGATATTCAGTTATACGTAAACAAACATCATTCTAAATTAAATTTGATTAGAAAAAACAAAAAACAAAATCCAACAGAAACACATTAAACTTACAATATAACTATCAACTTCTCGTTTAAGTAATATTAAATTTCCAGCAAATAATTTATTAAGAAATGCTCCAAAACTTTGTACAGCTATTGTATTTTCACTCATACGAACAAATAAATAAAGAACCGTACTAAAAAAAAAAATCTTTTTATAAAAATCATTTCAAAAAATAAAACATACAATGGATCAACATTTTTTATATGTGAAATTAATGTTTTTATTTCATTATCAAATGGTTCAAATAATTCCGAAAGCATTTGTCTAGAAACAAACGATTAAAATTTATAATGAAATAAAATTTCATAATATAAATATATATATACTTTAATCCTGATGAACTAAAATTTTCAATACTTTCTGTTGAATCTGGCGCATTCTAAATAGAAGAAAATAAACAATACAAAGGTTATCAGTGCAAATCCATTGGAATTAAAAGTTAGTCGTTTTCCAAAGCGAAACGATCTGTCTTATTTATTTCTATATTTCGAATAGTTTTATTTACTGACGCTCTATTTTTCGTTTACCTTGCTATTATTCGTTCGTTATTATTCTGACTATTGATTTAACTGGCAAATAAGCTTGTCGTGCATATCCATTAAATCTCAAGGTGCCATTTTATATCTTTATAGGATATGCGCAATAGTCAACAACTGTACTAGAACATTCACAAATGTTTTTAAGGAATTAGTCTGATGACTTCGGTTCTCGATTTCTATGGAAACCGTATCCTATGAGTATTGTTTTTTCTTTCTACCCTGTTATTATGAAGGTGAGAAGCCGCAAAACTTCAACTTAAAGCTTATGCTTCCTCTATTTTTCTTCCTAAAAAAAAAAAGCAGAAGATAACTTACTTCATTTGAAATAGTTTCTTCTTCAAGAAAATTAAAAAAATTCACACAAAATAATTGTTCTTCACGTACAACAGGTGCAATTTGCATTAGAACACGTTGAAAAATCTTTTTTGTTAAAAAAAACAAATTTTATTTTTATATTTAAAAATAAAATTACTTTATCACATCGTGTACGAAATTCTTTTGTTGAATTTCGTAATGAAAATGGATCATAATCAGGTATACTACTACTTAATTGACTTTGTGTATGTTGTTTATCTCGACGAATTGTATTTAATGTTGAAACAGATCCAACTAAATATATATATATATATATAAATTCTAATATTACAATAAGATTTTTGTTTTGATTTACCAGAACGTTTTTCTGGCGGCATTGCAACAACACCACGTGTAACACCTAATTTAGCTGATTCAAAAAATCCACGAATTTCTCTAGCATAAATTGGTCGTATTTGTGAAATATAAGCCTTTTTACAAAAAGAAAAGAAGATTGAACAAAACAATTTAATATTTATTACTTGGCAAACATCTTTAAAGTGATTGGGTGATGATATTTTTAACCATTGACATAAAGGACTAAAAGGTAAAAGTGGTCTGGTTACTTTTTCACCATGATGTGGTAATTCATTACCACCTAATTCAAAACGATCACCATATTCTTGAGCCTAGAAGAAAAAAGCAAAAAAAAAAGTAAATTAAATTGATATTTAATTATTATTAATTAAAATTTATTTACATGAAAAACAAATTTACTACTAAGAAAATTTTTACATCGTAATGAAAATGCTTTTTGCGTTTGTTCAAGTAAATCTCGTCGTTGTCTAATAGCAGACATTTTTTCCATGCCTATATAAAAAATTAATTTTTCGTTATTTTTTCTTTTTGAAATAAGAACCTGGTTGTAATTGTACAGCTAATGCTTGAGTTAATAATGTTGCTGCGTGAATACATTTTGTTCGATCATTATCATTTGTTAAATCACTATTTTGTAATAATTGAATATTATCTTCTGAAAAATCTTGCATTTCCTTAAAAAGAAAAAAGAAAAATAAAATAAAGTTGAAATTTTGTTTTTGTTTTTACAAGTAAATTTTCAAGTGCTTCAGTTAATTTTTGAACATTAGCTGTTTCAATTTGTATTAATGAATCTTTTCGACTCATAATTTTTACTGCATCAGCTACTGTCTATTGAAATAAAAGAAAAATTTATAATTTTTTTTTTTTGATATATACAAATTTTTTAAATCATACACTTAATTTTTTTTCATAAAGACCTAAACGACCATCAATTTTTGATATTTCTTCAACTGCTTTATCTAACATATTCATTAATTGAACAGCACCTTTTTCTGATGCCATTACTGTTTCAACATTTGCCTAAGAGGAGATGATAATAATTGAAAAGATAATGAATTAATTTTTATGCTTTTTTCACTTACCACATCAAGATCAGTTAAACGTTGTTGAAGCATATCAACGAAACGTTCAGCATCTTTAATAGCAAAATCATTTTCTGACATAAGATTAGTTAAATCTTGTTCTTCTTGTTGTGTTATTGCATCCCATGTTTCAGGTAATGATGGACGACTTGATAATGATTCAAGATTTGATGTATCTAAATGAATAAAAATAAAAAAAAAACTTTTTTTTTTCGTAAGATAAAAAAAATTTACTTACTTCCTATTAAATCATTATCATCATTTGGAGTATTAAGATATTTAGGTTTATCTCGACTATGTTTTAAATAATGAGCTGTTATCTAATAGAAATCAAAAAAAAAAAAATTTCGACAATAAAAATAAATAAATTTCGTTTTTATTAATACAAACTTTTCTTAAATTAGTAAAAAATTCTTTTTTTTCTTCTGACGTTAATGCAAGAAATGAAAATTCTCGATCTGTTGTTATTATATCAATACATAATGATGATTGTTGACGTTTATCATTTATTACTGGAGCATAATCAATTGTTTTTATATCCGATAATAATATATTAATTTTCTTTTTAGCTATTTCATTTGTTTTTTCACCTAATCGAACTATATGTAATGTTGGTTGTGGATCTGCTTTTTGATAAACTAAAAAAAAAAAATTTTGAATTAATTATGAAGATTAGAAAAACAAAACAAAACAAAAAAAACGATCAACATCATCTTGCTGATTAGTTAATGATCAGATATCAAAATTTCTCTGAATTGCTATCGAATCATTTCATTCTGAATTATTCGTAAAATTAATATTGTAAATATTATTCTAAATGAAATAATCTATTGAAAAATTCATATACTTACTACAAGCACATAAAATATACATTTTGTCTTTTGATTTTTTAGTTATGTCTTGTACACGACATAAAGCAAGACATGTTTCTTGTGTTGTTGAAAAGAGATCATCATTTAATTTTGTTTGAATAACCTTTAAGTCTTGCATCTAGAAATAAATAAAAAAAAAGAAAAGGTTTTTGCATTGTGTTCAATCTATTATTATAGATAAAGATTAGTTGAAAATCGAAATTCTTAATAACAAAATCTCTTAATCATTACGATAAAAAATTGAAGATAGGAATCAAAAAAAAAAAAGAAGACATAAAAAATCATGGAAATTATTTGTTCATCGAATTCTATTCAATGAAGAAAATAATATGTTTTACAATGATATCTAAATGAACAAGAGTCAAATCGGCTTTCCTACATGTAAATAGATGAGTCATTTTAATTGAATTATTAATGACATCTAGAATAATTATATGATAAATCATTGATATTAGAGATTCAAATTTGTAATCATTCAAATTCACAAGAAAATATTTTTTCATTAAACTATATTGTTTACTTTAAGAGATGTCGCACAATATAGACAAATGTTTGCTTACATACGTTGACGAGAGAAGCATATCTTATCATTCTATAGCAATTTATTGGTTTCAAACTATGAAAGGTGTGAGTGTAAATCGTTTGTATATTTTCATTCACCTTCACTGCTCCTTCAGAATACTTTAAGACTAGCATTTCATGTGACGAATTGTCCTAGCATTGGGAAGTTGCGAATCCTTCGAGACTTAGATCCGATCGAGTTCGGGTTCTAGTCCACAAAAACGCGTACCTGTAACTCCCTACGTAGCACTACACGTGTGACATAGTTTTTGTTTGATGTTACGTCCAATATCGATCTATTTTTTCAAACAGTTTATATCATGGAATAATATACTAAATATATTTGCACAAGGCATGACTATCACTAATTAATCATATAATGTAATCTGTCTACAATATCTCGTATATTTTTATCTATCGATACAAAATATGTGTAAAAAAAAATTAAGCTTATATATGATGTAAACTTTTTAATTTAGTTTTGAAAATAATACCAGATACTTATCAAATAGATCTGGTAGAAGAAACATCTCAAAACTAGCTTTTATAACTGACTGTAAAGAAGAATATGTTTTAATCAATCATATTCTAAAATGTCTACTGGTTTTTTTTTTGTTTATTCAAGTTTCTTATACTCGTATAAACAGATTTATTTTGTTAGTATAAAAGACAAAGCTCAAATATTTATTAGAATAACTCGATCTAATGAAAATTAACTACTATCAAATCAAAACAACAAAAATCTTGATTAAACACTAGTAATAGAGCAAGTTTAATAATAATTAATAAAAATAACAATTAAAAAGAAAAAAATAAAGATTTCTGCTCATGACAAACTAATAGAAATGTTAAGTAGAAACTTCTCTATTATCAAACGAAAAAAAAAAACACATGTCTTATTCAAATAAATTAACAACTATATCGTTCTTAATCATCTCAATTAACTAATAAAATCTTTAAAAAAAATAATAATTATTATCTTTAAAAAGTAAACTATTCGACGGATTTTGATGAAACATAAACCACTAAAGGCATAGCGACGAATCCCAAAACAACCATAAAAGAATTAATAACACCAAAGCCCATTGCTTGATTACCAGCAATGACATCAATTTGTTTTGCACATCCAATTTGATAAAACTTATTTGGAACATTATTAGCATTCGATACACAATCTTTAAAAATAAAAAAAAACAATAAACATTTTTATCTTTGTAAATTATCGATAAAAATAAATATTGATACTTACAAGTATCTGATGTACTATTTGTTAAAAATGCGTCACTACTACAGCAAGATTTAGGTAAAAAAACACCGAATGTAATTGGCAAACCTGGAATACCACCATAAGGAGATGTTTCTTGACGTTTTCGTCTAGTAGAAATCATCAATAAAAGTATTTGTTAATGATGAAGATTATTGGAAATATTTCATTTACCTTACATTACTTGGCTCATTTTTTATTACGGGAACAACTGATTCAGTAACATCAGCGGCACTAGTCACTATTGAAGCAGTGGTAGTCATCTCCATTGTGGTTGTCATTGGTGATGTTGAATTTAGGTCAACATATGACCAATCAAGCCACGTATTAATACCACAGCATGTATAGGTATATTGTAAACGATCAGTTATATTTTTTGAATTCTCACTATTCTTATAATTCATCATATGGTCACCAAAACGTGAACTTACATAACTCAATGACTTTGCATTTATAACAAGTGCACTCACTAATGAAGCAATTGCAAAGACACCTGTTATACCAGCCATAATAGCAGCAATTATACCTAAATTAGACAAAACAAAATAAAAAAAAAACGAAAAGATGTAATTAATCTGATTTGAATACGTTAAACATTGAATGTTTAATTTATCTTTTTTTTTTTGTTTTGTTTGACTAAATAGGTAAAAGAATTTCATTGAAATATAAAAATATTTTTAACAAATAGTTTCTATTGCCAAATTGTATGACGATCAAAAAGTACATCTTTTAAAAATAGTATTATGATCCGTGACGACCTGTACCTCTCGTACAAATAAATAAAACAGTTAGATTTTTAATAGCTTTTATCTGTAGCTATATTTAGTTTTAAAGTTTTAGTCCGAATATAATATTTTCATTATTATTTGATGTGTATTTGAAAACATTTTCTAATGAAAACAAATGAATAAATCATTACATTCGTACAATAAGTAAGAGTCAAATAGGGAAAAAAAACCTTCCATGATATAGCTCGTTATATGATTCATTAGAGGAAAAAAAAACAAATATGTTACCAAGAATAGAACGACTATAATAATTTTCTTTTAATTTATATACTTAAATCTTTTGATTTTTTCTGAAAAAAAAATCTTACCGAATGCTCTAGATCTCATCGTCATTGCGACTATACCAAAGATACCGGCCAGTAAACCAAAAACACTAATGACAATATTAAAACCAGACAATCCTATTTGTGGACGAAAAACATCTCCATATTTACGGTATCGTACAATAATACCAATGCTAACACCTAGATGAATAATTGCAAATATCAAAATGGAAACCATAACAGCAAATGATAAAGTACGAATAGTTTTCACCATGTTGAATAATTAAAAGCAAATTATTAAATTAATTAATAAAAATAAATTCTAAACAAACACTTTTCACGATATCAGTTTCTTTTTTTACAATTAAATATCAGTAATTCAAAATGCGTTATAATACTAAAAGAAAAAAAGAGACGTATGTATGTTGTGAAACGAAAGACACATCATATTATGCCACGCATGAATGAAGAAATATATAGGAAGACAAACGTTTTATGACTACATCAGAGTGAAGGTTTTTTTTGTTGTTTTTTTTTTTTTTGATATTACTCATGATTAACATATAGACGAACAAGCACAAAATTGACCTTCAATATTAATAAATTTTTTCCTTTCGATTCGAATAGTTTTTTTCACTTATAAAATTCTAAATGAAATTTTAGTTTTAGTTTGATAATATTAAATTTACTATCAAAAAAAAAATTCATTTCAGTATTATTTATATTTTAATGATGATGACACAATGAAATTTTGAAAAATATATTTTCAAGTCAAACAACGATGATTCAAACATTTTCTAGATAATAAATAATCATAAATATGTAAATTTATTAAAATAAAATTCATCTTTTTTTTCGAATTATTGATATCATGAAAGAGAGAAATGTTTATTAATTTTTACTTTAGTGGTAAATCAAAGAAACTTAAAGGTCGATTCCGAATGATACTACATATTTTTTTTTTTAATCCTTTTTACTCTACCTTATCAATGACATTATCAATCGATAGAGCATCTTTTGATCTTTTAATAATAGTGAAAACATATCATTAGATTATTCGTAAAATTTATTAACATCATTAATTAATCATGAATTTATTTTCCTATTCATTTAAATTAACATTTATGATACAAAAAAAAATAAGCATAATTTCTTTCGTTAATGAATATATAATGATCTGTCACATGTGGAGCAATTTATTTGTGTCAATAATCGATTTCGAATATCTATAAAATAATTGTTTTACAAATAAGTACAGTATAACTTCTTGTAAATGAATACTAGCGGGATTTTTAGAAAGTATTTATATATAAGTTTCTTTATTAGTTTTAAAGTCATCAAAAATTTAATATTTCAAAAAATTTTCAACAGAATATAAAACTTTACTTTATTTAACAAAATCTTGTATTATTGTTTCGATCTCGATTATATTACATTTGAGTTTGATGAATATTGCTGTACACATGTCAAAACTTTTCAACACTTTGATTTTTAGTTTGTTTGTTAATCATTCAAATATTCATTTTATAATATTAAATGCACGACCAAATGAAATATTCAAATTTTCAGCTAATTCCCATTTTGATGTACCATTACTATCGTTGTAACCATCAATTAATTGAACTTTTTCTTTTGATATAAGATGATGTCGTAATAATGTCATTGCTTTTTCTAATATGTACAGTTATGACAAAACAATGAACTGTAATTTCAGTGCATTAACCAGGCAATGATGAAGAGCAGAAGGTGATGTGTTTGTTTAAAAGAGATTAAATTAACAATCGAGACTGTAAAAAACAATGTTTAAGTTTAGAGTGGGAACGTGTTCATTTATGGAAGATGTATTTTCAGTAAAAAAATCACTTCGCGAGATCGAAATCTTGTTCAAAACAAGAGGTGTTCGTTAATAGAGGTTGCATTGTAATATGAATCAAAAAATTTTGGTTCTCAGAAAATATTAAACTACTTCACTTGTTATTTACAGGTGTTTCAGTAGTCATGTTGTACGAAACTTGAATAATAATGATAGTTTTACTGTAAAAATTTTGCCGATTTTATTTCTTAGTTATTATAGAGCTCTTTTCATTCGTCATCTCCATAATACTAACAATATTATAGACAAAATGATCTGTTGCAAAATAATGGAATGTGTTCATCCATCAAGGTTTTCTTTTTACTTAGAAGATAACATCGTTGCGCGCTAAGTTAATATTGCTGCTTTAAATATCTATTATATATATTGAAATAAACAAGATACGTTTAAAATTTTGAATGAATGGGAAAAGCATCGAATGCAAAAAAGAACAGATTAGAAATAATGGTTCGGTCAAATACAATGATCGAAACATTTTTCTTTGAACTGGTTAATTCTATTACGTATGTTCATTCTTCTAGCGTTTTTTTTTAAATATTTGTGGTGAATTATCTTATTTTTATTCTGTATTTTATCAAATCCTATGGATGATTAGAATGATAGTTCTCTTATTTATTTTTCTTTTAGGAATACTTCTATTAAACTTTAATTATATGTATAATTTGCTTTTAAAGTTTTTTTTTTATTGTTCGAGATATTTCCTTAGCAAGTTTAAGATACAATTATTTATTTAAACGTGTTTTGAAGAAAATTTACGTATATTTCGATATTAAATATGTCATTTATTTATGCACCGAATCAACAGTACACTTTTTAATAGGTCTCAATCATGAACTGACTACGTCATATTCTCAAATGCATCCTATTTTTGATACTGTGATATTGATTCATTTTTGAAAAAAAACTGCTCGATAGAGAAATGTCTGTGAGCGATGAAGTAACAAGCGAACTATTAATAATAGCAATATCAAATATTTTTGTCTATATTAAAAATTGTTTGAAAGCTTAATTATTGGTGATTTTATCCATTGATGAAAGTAAAAGTTCAAAATATATTTTTTTCGAAACCTCTGTAAAAACGAGCTTCAGGAATGATAGCCAAAGTAACTTTCACTTTTCACTTCATTGTACTTAAAAAGCCAGAGATATGTATATCGGCGACGAGAAACAAAAAAGAAACAATTACACATCGTAGAACGAAACCCATGATCGAATATATTTGTCAAAGGACGAATGTATGCACACATGGGTCTGTTAGAATCATTTTCAACCATTATTGAAGTCAATGATGATACTTTAAAGCATTATTTTTAAATGTTGTTCTTATGAAAAGAAAAGTTTAGCCTCATAGAGTAGAAATATGCAAAATTTTTATCGTAAAGTTACTTATGGGCTATTCTGCAGTAGTAGAACCAATGGTTGTTCCAGTGCGAGTAGTTGTCATTTTAACTAATATTGATAGTAGTTGTTTTAATTCTCATTGCATCTGACGACAGACATGCTTAGCTAAACCAGATAATTATCACCACGATAATCATAATTTGTTTGAATTTTATCGACAATTTTTTTCGAATCTTGATTATTTCTATGAGATATTCATATGATTTTAGACACGAAAGGTTACATAGCTAATAACGAGAGAACACGAGTACAATTCTAGTAAATACTATAACTTAACCTTGAAAAAACAAAAAACAATTGTCTTATCTATATATACATACGATATACCTACTCAAAAAAAAAATAAACCAAAATACACGAATTATAAACCCACAAATACTATGACAGGCATTTAAACCTCTTGTTCTTTACATTATAATACACAATACTCTATATTTATAAATATCACCTTGTTAATCCTTTAATAAATTTGTTCTTTACTTCTAATGTAATAAATATACTTTGAAATTAACAATATGAAAAGTATTATACTTGTAACGAAGGATTGTAGGAATACATACGAAAAACATATCGAGATATCTATTTTTATAAACATGTCGTGAAATAATGATCGAATGTAATTCGATTGATATGTATAACCTAAATGACATTATCGAATGAATGTTTTATCAATTGTCAATAATAATCAAAAATATATACATTTGAAATTGGTACGATTATAATTCATTGTATTTTCAAATTGAACTTTATATCTGAATATAGATTATTTAACAATTCGAAATAAATATTTCAAGTTTGAATTTTGTTGTATTCATTTTGAATGTGATTATACTTTGTTGATATTCATATATTGTACTCTTGGAAAGCATAGAAACAAATTTTGTTCATATATGATTTTGATTTTGGGTTAACAATGTTAGATATTTTGTTTTTTGTTGTATAAACATTGAATTCTAGTTTTCAAGCAAACAAGTTTTTAATTGAGTAAATCAACATCGTTTGATGATAATTACCAGGAAAAATCAATCAATTAAATGATCTAATGTCGGTGTGAGACGTTAAAGATACTCGATTAAAAATTGAATACGTCGAAAAAGTAAACAGCTAGCAATCTATGGTTTCCAGATATTGAAACAGAAGACATGTCAGATGTCTTTTTCTTCGATAATAAATAGGATGAAATTATTTTGAAAGGAATAATTTTGACAAACTATTCGAAGAAATAGTCTCTCATTCCCATGAGATTTTGATTACAAGTTAGAACTTGTACTTAAAAATCAACATAATCTCTTCTTATTCAATCAAGCAGATATACAACATACATTTTCTCAGCATTAGATATGAGAAGATACCCATGGAAATTGTCTCTTGAATTATGGACCTCAAGTCCACTCTCTCCTGCTAACGAGGGAAGATCCCCGAGTGTGTCCCTGGAATTTCAACAAAAACAATGTGAGTTTGTCAAATCAAGTATTGTTATCTCAAATATAGAAAAATTAGAGCCTAAGACTGATTTGATAAAAAAAATTTTGAGTTAAAATATTTTGTACCTAAGACTTTGAGGAGGATCATAGATGGGGTTTTTAACGAAAAATAAAGTTTGAAAAAAAAATCTGAAATATTCACGAGAGTAATTTTCAACTAACTTTATCACTCACCGTCAATGAAATGACAAATAGAAGATATCAATAATTTTTGTTTTTTTCAATAGACTTGTTCTTAAGCGAATTCATGTAGAATCAAATGCTCTAGTGGTGGATAATATTCCAAAATGAAAGTTATACGACTATGAAAAGATATCAGCAAGACTCACTACGAAGCGACATAGTATAGCATTTTGCATCGAAATATGCATGTATTTTAACAATTTAAGAATGGATTGATTTGACCTTTTATGAATACTCAATCCTTTATTAGTTTAGTAGTGAGAGTATTGATTTGATCTGAATACGATCAATCTTATCAAGTTACAATACCGTGCATTTCGATATACCGTTCTA